AGAGTCTGTCTGTCCCTTTATACTCGTTCTCGTTATTAGTAAGTAATTCAGTATTATCGTTCTCATATGTCCTTGTTATGCATTTCACTAAATGTCTTTCCATATTTCCAATACATGTTAAATAGACAAACTGTCAACCTTCTCTTCATCATACATAGCTTGTCAGATTTAATAATCTTAATTCCATTATGTTGTCGACGATTACGTAACCTTCCCTTTATCTGAAAATCAATTCTAGGTTGTTGCATCTGCCACGTCATGCTCCTCTGTTATTCAATAGCGCACTTCTATACACTTTAGTGGATATAAACGTCATTTTATAGTCTCTGTTGAAAAAATCATCGATGAGGAACTTTTCTTCCTCTGAATTGTTTTCCCTTTTGCTTCGTAGGCAGATGGTGTTTGCGAATATGTATTCTTAAATCGTACCGAAAACAAAGTGCTGTGACGTAACGAAATGTCCTTCTAACATTCAAATTAATAAAGTCCTGCTTTTGCTCTTTCTTCAAATGTTTCTTAGTTTCTGGAATAATTTATTCTTTCACAGAGAAATATGCATGTTCTGCACGGAAGTCCTAGTGATAGCTGAAATGTTACCATAACCCTACTGTCCTGAACTGAAGCCGCTGGCTCATTCACAACTGCGTCCAGTTCATTCGACCGAAGCTATCATGCCGAATTTTTTGTAAAACTTTGAAAACAGTTATCGATGTGATAAGCGAAATTTCATTACACTCAAACAGTTTCCAGATACAACACTAATTTGCGATATCAAAGAATTTCCATCGTTAGCGCTGATACTTAAGTTTAATGTTCCTCATTCACACATCATTGATCTGAAATATCTAAGCTACCTAGCTGAACATCCTAAATAATTATTTGATGCAATAATACGGTGTTTATGGTGATAGCGTACACTGGAATTCACAGCAGAAGTGTCATTCATATATAAAAACTAATTTGTCTGTATTTTATGTTTTATTGAAGAAAAATTCAAAACATCATCTCAAAAGAGTTTGATAAACAGCAGTTACTGTAAATTATTGAGTGCTCATAAAACAATTAAAGTTTAATTAATAATCCCGAATTTTTATTTTTTTTGTTTTAATAAGCAATGAAAAAAACGCAGAGTATTAAACTCAGACAGAGATTTTAAGATGTAACACTTAGTTTATTGTTCTACCATATCTAGTATGCTTTTACTTCTCACATTTATCAGAAATAATGCTGTTTATGAAGACTACAGCGTGCAGTGCCCAGGTCTGTATCAACCTAATTCAATAGTTGCCTGTGTGACTGTGCCACCACGTCTCAGCTGATCCGCAACGGAAAACTCAGAGAGGCATTCGAATTGCTTACAGGAGTAAGACAAGTCTGTCTATCTATTATCACCGATGAAATTCCTAATCGTGGTGGACTGGATTATGCGTCTGACTGGGCACAGGGAGTGAGAAGGTAGGAGTACGCTGGACCACCGAGAAGAAGAATCTTGAAGATCTGGATTTCTCGTGTGATGATTTACAGGCGAGAATCAACAAACTGACTGCAGAGAAGGCGAAGGCAGGACTCCAAGTGAACATAGACAGGACGGTGGTTATGAAAATACCCCCAATCAACACCACCAACAACAACAAACAGCACCAATCACCATCAAAGTGAGAGATTTAACAGAGGTTACCTCCTTCACTTATCCAGTCAGGAACTACTGTTTCACCTACAGGCAGCCAGATCGGATGGAGGTGTCGAAAACAGCAGCCACAGTCGGAAACGTAACATACTCCTTCATCAACCTGAAGTCAGTTTTCAGATCTTCTGATTCACTCACTCAGCATGATGAACTACATTCGGATTTTCAAAACAATTGTGAAGTCAGTCAGTCAGAAACTCTCACTGCGTGCCGCGAGAGGGATTTTCAACAGGATATTGTAGACTCTCATCATCAGCTGCCACGTTCGCTTGCTCCGTACTGAAGATCAAATGGCTAGTAAGAACCAGCAACAAGAAACTCTGGCCGGAACAAACCGACCAAGAGCCGATTGCCTAACAGATATGTAGGAGGGAGTGGAGATGGATTAGCCATACGTTGAGGAGGCTGTCGAATGACATCGCGCCGCTTACAGGCCAGTGCTCGAGTGGAGTCGTACTAAGAAGGGACGAGTGGGTGGTCGGTGCGAGGGTGACAGAGGAGATAGTGTGGGGTGGGTGAGATGGGAGATTATGGGTAATCGTGGATCCAGATGAAGAAAAGTGAGACAAAGTGGAGATGTCTTGTTGAAGCCCTATGTTCCACTCAGAACTCAAGGCAATAATGAATAAAATAATAACGATTTGAACCACCTATAAGAAATACTGTGAATCTGAGGCGTGTCTAGTTTCATCTTAACGAAAAACATTATAGTTCCTGTATCTGAATGCTATGCAAATAATCATGCTGTTACATTCATAAGTTGCAGAGAAGTATTCTACATATGGATAAAGAAATACTACATTTATCCTCGACTAAAGTGAATGCATACATGATTTGAATTCCCCCAAAATTATAGACAGCGTCGTCGAACATGTTCGTTTACCCTACCATAAAATAATTTTATCTGATAAAAACAAACAGTGGAGCAGTATTATTTGCTGATGACGTTTCTAACCAAATTTATTTCTCATTGTCATATTAGGGCTCTCATATAACTTTCTAACAACATTTATATTGTTCCATCACTTCTTATCTTTTGATTTTATTAGCAGTTACATTTCCAATGTCCATGGTATTGGCACTGCGTCATTCCTATTGCACTTGTTCAGTGTGGATTAGATGCACACAGATTCGGAGATCAGCTTCTCTTTCAACCTACATAAGTAGCTGTAGTTATGTCCCACCCAACTGTTTCATTGTGTTAATGCACGCACTGAGACTGCATAATTTTCGTCTAGACTCTCCAACCATTCGCGGTCAATCAGTCTACACTTGACTAAATTATTATGCCACGGTAACCTGACAGACCCCAATCTACTGATACGATCTATACAAATGATCTCACAATCATTGGAAAGTATTGTTTAAATCATTTATTTGTTTGATTGGCTCGACAAGATCCCTTAGCCTACACAGCCTATCCAAGAGTGAGTTTTTGGGTTCAAATGCCACTCTAATTCCTGCTTTATTAAGCATCCTACGTAGGGTTGCAGATATCTTTTCATTACATGATGAATTTTTTCAGATGTATTCTCTGGTCAATGTTTCTACTACTACTGTCTTTGTCTTGTGAGTTTTCTTCAATTTTGTGAAAAAATTTTACGGGTAATTTATTCATTACCATATCCCCCTCTGTTTGCTTCGCTTAACAGTTTGTATTTTTTATGTACGACTCAGAGCTTTTGCTCGGTTTGTTAAACACTTATTTAAGCCTGCATTGACAGTTAATGGATGAGATGAAATAACGTCTATGCATGTATATAAGGTTGAGTTTGCATTTTATGAAGGAGAGTGCATAGTTTACCTTCTCTTTTTTCTTTTATTTTACAGTCTGGCATAGCCAATCCTTCTTATTCATGTCTCAACTTAAAGGGGAAAATTTTATTCCCCGTGCTAATGAGTTTATATACGTGAAAAAAAACTTGAGATATGTTCTGATTTTAACAATGTGAAAGCATCATCCACATATTTCCAACAAATCTTTCGGTAGGATTAAATGTTATAGAGACACATTCTCCAAATTATCTATTCTAGGATTTATTAAGAAGACAATTGCAGCGAAGAAAATTTTCTTTTCGACGAAGTCATCATCTAGGCTGTACATTCGTGTATTTATATCAAATGGATAGAAAGTTCCAGAATAATGTCCGGTTAAGAGTCAAATTAATAAAAATTAAAACTAGGAATTAGAATGCCATAATAAACAGGGGGATGGATGAAACAAAAGCTCAAACCCACGCTTTGTATCCAAAAGAAATACGTCCAACCCCTGTCCCTGCCATGGCCATCATAAACAGGCAATTTTTTAGTAATGACCATCCCATCGCCTTTCTTACCTAAACTTCCTGTTTATTCATGTTATTTCAAGTTTTTCTTAATCCCTGTTTACACTACCATATTTTCATACCCGAACTTCGTGTTTATTTTGTCATTTTACTATTTCTACATTTCTAACCCCTAATTGCACAATGTCAATCTTCTTAGCTATCATGATGCTACTTTGTTTGTTTTATCCATCCCCCTGTTTATTATGACATTCTAATTCCTAATTTAATTTTTATTAATTTGACTCTTAACCGGAAATTATTCTGGAACTTTCCTATCCATTTGATATAAATACACGAATGTACAGTCTAGATAATGACTTCATCGAAAAGAAAATTTTCTTCGCTGCAATTGTCTTCTTAATTAACTCCTATGACCCAATGTGTATATTCTAGGATTCATGATATTGGTAATCCCATTGCTACCACTTTTGTTTATCTAAATACTTGCTCTGGAACTCAAAGATAGTAGTCCTGTAAACGAGTTCGTGGTCCGCAGTTAGCTCTTTTCAAACTACTTCCAATTCCAAAGTGATAGATATCCTTATATCAAGACCAGTTATATCACTTTATTTTTATTAATTCCTGTTTGAATGGCACTCAACTTATTTTTCATTTCATATTAACTAGTTAGTGTAGAGTTTGAAAGATTTTAGATAGGACATAATATTAATACTAAGTTTTTGAATAACTCATCAAAACAGCTGGAATCTTTTCCTGAAATCATAAATTAATACAAATCAATAAAGATTACTGTTCATGTAAATAATGTTACGCAAATCATTTAAAAAATATCCTTTCATTGAACGAAAATGTTGTACAACAATATGAAAATGTTTCTTTTCAGATGCATGAAATTGACTGCTGTATTAATTAATTTACATAAAGTTTACAATTAAAACAAACGAAGGTTTATTCGGCGCGAAAACACAAATAGGAAATAAATCAAAAGCGTTTCTTTTTAACACGGCAAACGTTTGTTGTCTTAGTTAGTAATTTGCTTCTAAAGATTTTGATTTCATTCGTATTTCTTTTCTTTTACATTTGAATAATCTTGAAGAGAAATTTATAACTGAATAAATATCTTCAATCAATCGTATACGAATCGGTTTTATAAAAATAAATAAACTGATTGTACGCGTAACATAATAGAAGATACGTACAAGTTCAGTTGCACTATGAGTTGTTTGTGTTAAATTTGTATAACCATAATTTTGATAGTCATAAAATACAATCATATCTAATATATTAGCGATACCTGCTTCAACTGACCAAATAATAACTAGAAGTGTTAAAATATGTTGTAAATTATTTCTATCAAATCCTTTATAATTTTTATTTTCACGTTTTCTTTTCACAAATTGAATGAACATGATAATATAACACGTTGCCATGATAACACCCGGTAAAATTAATAGTAATGCTAAGCATAAATAACTAAATATTATTAATTGTTTACGATGTAAATCATCAGCTAGATTTTGATCAACCGGTGTACACTCACCCAATGCATTCATTTGTACCATAACAGTAAATCTTAAATTAATCGCCATAACATATATCAATGCAAAACAGTATGATGTGAATACAGTACGTGAATAATCTAAAATATTTTTATTTGGATAAATAATTTGAAAACATCGTTCAATTAACATTGTAACAGAATTATACTTACAAAACATAATGAATAAATTATACATAAATGTACTACTCCACATATGACAAATTAATATATTAAACCATAATTCATTTGTTTTAATAACTGGAATAAATATATAAAGTATGCCAGCAATTGATGTTAACCATTCAAATGTCATTTGTAGCATTATTAGTATACTAAGCGAGTGAGTTCCTAAATTTATATCAAATATATAAACAATTAATAGTGGATTTATAATTGCATTGATAAAAGAAACACTTAGTGCCACAACATCAATTTTATCGGCAACGGAATTTCCATGTTTTAACATGGATATAACTCCACTCTGGGCAGTAGACATTCTGAATTCTGAGTACAGTTCAAGATAAATGTGTGTACATATTTTTGTAACAGAAAACAAATTAAATAATATAGGAAAGTTATTGTTGTAACTATTCGTATTTGTTTATGAGGGCTATATATATACAGCTGAATACCCGTCCATTTCTTTTAATTTCCATTGGAATTATGAGTAAACGGATCAAAATGGAAGATAATTAGGGTGAGTTTTCGATTGGTTGATATTTAGTAGTTAAATTTACTGCACGATTTTATTACTACTATGACGTGATAAACAATAACAGATTAACTATGTCCATTTCTATGATTCCTTTAAGTTTAACTTCATGCATAAAGTCTATATCATGGATAAGATCAGGTGTTAAAAAAGGTATAAAATTTATTTTAATGAACAGTTTATTCAGTAAATTATTGAATTTCCATCAATGTTGTTGTGTTCACTGAGCTAGGTGGTTTAATTGAAAGAGAGTAAACAGTTTGTCTGTTTATTAAAACAAATTCATATACCCATACTTGGAAACAGCTGTAAATGAACTTAAAATAGATTATTACTTTTTCTTTGGATTTCGAGTGAAACATGCGGCTTCAACAACACATCTTAACTTTCTTCTGTTTTCCACCATTGTCTTCAGCTGGATAGCCACGCGACTGACCATAGTCTGTCATGTCGTATTCACACGTTCTCCTCCATGTCACATAAGAAGATGCGACATACTAGTTGCTTTCTAGTGTGATTCCACTGGAGCAGTGGCATGCAGTGAGGGCTATGTCATACGAAGGCCTACCCAACGTGTGCTCGATCCATCTCCATATCCTCCAGTATAAGAATTGAGCGATTGGCTCTTGCCTGTTGGTTTCTTCCCATCCATAGTTTCTTGTTAATAATTCTTCCTGGTCAGCTGTATATTCAATCTTCAGCATGGAGCAAGCGAACGTGGCAGCTGTTGATGAAAGTCTGCAATAGCCTGTTGGAAATCCTTTTTGTGACACGTAGTGAGAGTTTCTGACTCGCATAGAAGAACTCACTAACTTCACGCAGGCGTTGAAAATCCTAATCTTGTTCATCATGTTGTGTGACTGAAGCAGAAAATTTGCACACTGGTTTCAGACTGATGGAGACGCGTGTTGCGTTTCCCATTGTGTCTGTCTGGTTTTGACATCTTCATCCGTTCTGACTGCCTGTAGTTGGAACAGTGTTTACCTGCTAGATAATGAGGGAAATAACATCTGTTAAATCTCTCACCTTGATGGTGATTGGTGTTGGTTGTTATTGTTGTTGCTGTTCATTGGTTAACTTTATCATATCCATCTTCTCTATGTCTTCCTGAAGCCCTGTCATCGCTGTCTGCCACATCAGCCAGTTTCTTAATTCTCGCCTGAGAATCTTCAAGTTTGTGTGGTATTGAATATAAATTACTCATGCTTGAAATCCAGATCTTTTAGATAGTACAGCGTAATTCTGTCTCGTCGTCCCCACAGTCGAACGTATAATCCAGTCCACCACAATTAGGAATATCATCGATGATAACGGACAGCCTTGTCTTACCCATTTATGCGATTCGAATGTCTCTCCAAATTTTTGGTTGTGGATCAGCTGATCCCTGACACTTTTATTTAGCCAGCTGTTGAATGAGGTTGATAAATAATTAGGCACTGCAAAGCTGTAGTGTTGAAGCTGTTTTGAAATTACTTCTCGGTCAATGCTGTTTGTCGAAGGCCCTTTCGAAATCGATGAATGGAGTTGAGGTAGATGTTTGACTGCCATTCTATGCTTTGTTCTGTGATGATGTTGTGTAGAGTTGCAATTTGATCAGCATATGATTTGCTTTCCATGAATCCAACTTGTTCCAGTTGGAAGAGTTCTGTATCCATTACATCCCTTGTTCTCTCCAGGATGATGCTAGTTTATATTTTACTTGCTGCGAAGAAGAGCAACATCTCACGTCATTCACTTCTCGTAGATGCGTAAGTCTCCATTCTTTGGGAGCTTGACCAGATAGCCTTTTTTCCAATCCATGAGTACCATTCTTTTCCTGCAAACACTTTGCAATAATGGCATAAGCACACCTGCCACAGTCTCTGTGTCTGTCTTTAGTGCTTCGGATGGAATTCCCTCTGGGCCTTCTGCCTTCCGGATAGCTTTCAGTAGCTTGACTGCATTGAATATTTCTGCTTTAGTTTGGGGATTGCTATCCACTGGTAGGCAGTTCAGTGTGTGCTTTTGATGGTAATTCTGGACGAGTTGTAGGTGATGGTCGATTCAAGAGTCCTTTGATGTGATCAGCCTAATGTTTCATTTGTCAGTCCACCTTTGTAATTCGGTTCCTTTGAACATCTTTTTTATTAGTTTCATCGTCCGGGTTGATCTCTTCATGGATAGCTAGCAGGCTGGTTATCTAGTATCATGTCTTGAAATCTCTTTTACCTGCGGCCTGCCTGTTATGCATCAGTGTGCAGCCAGTGTGTCGTAGAATTGTTTTTGTCTTTCTTAGCACTCTTCTTCACTTCTCATTCACTGCAGTGTACGTTGAACTCGGCTTCTCCTTCTGTTGCCCAGCTTTGCTTTGCGTCACCTTCTTTTTCAAGATCTTCCTGTCATCTCTTTTATTAGCTTCCAGGTAGGTGTTCGTTGAGAAACATTCCTTGTCGTGTCTCTTCTTTCTTCCTAGAACAGCTGTAGGCGTTTCCATGAACACCATTTACAGAGAGTTAGTTGCAATGTTCTTTCTCATGGGTTTCCTCATTGATAACATTTATTGTCTTTGATTTTGCTCTGGTCTGTAGTGAATTTATCCTATGTAGTTTTGTCCTTCAGTTTCTGAATGTTGGACTTGAGTTGTTATTGTCTGTTTCCAGTTGTTTTCAGGGATTACAGTCTCACCTTAAAGGTTTTTTGAATTAAATGATAGTCTGAGGCCACTTTTTGTCCATCACACTGTGTCTCCATTACACACGCTGCCTCCGGTTACCAGATCACCGAATACTCAGAAGTTTGTGGATAATTCTCCGTTCTCATAAATTTCTCCGAGAGCGTCTTGACACATGATGTGTTTTCTTACTGTACTATCTGCTCCGGTTCGTCTGGCATTCATATCGCCTATAAGGACTTTGATGTCACCATTTGGGACGTTGTCCATTTCTGTTTGTAGTTGTTTATAAAACTCTTCCTTATTCTCTCGTTCTGTGTTGTTTGTGGCATTGCGCCTAGCGTTGGATAATTGCGACCTCCCCTCTTGCTTTTTGAGTTATATCTTGCTTTCATAATCTTGCAGAAGGAGATTGGTTTCCACAACAGTCGAGCTTTGTCTGCTATTATCGAAATTATGATAGTCACTCACTGCCTCAGCGTTCTGGTGACTGTCGTCTGGATGACCAGACCGAAGTAGATTACTGACTCTCCAGTTGACAATTTAGATAATCCACATCCATATATCTGCTTTTGCAGATGAAGGCCATATCGTCACATTTCTTTGACTACCTATGCAGCCTTCCCAGTCAGCCTCGTGCATTGTACGGACATTCCACTACCCCATTCTTATTCTTGCTTTCATAGAGAGAAGATACGTCGGCTTACTTACTGCCTTCCCGAAGGCTTTCACCAGACAGCCCGCTGTGTCATTTCGCCTCTCCAATTCCAGAAAAGAATAAGATTGTTATTTGAATTTTTGTATTTTTAATATATTTTAGTGCATCTAAGTTTCTCTAGTGGTGTAACAGGTTTAGTTGTGTATGGTTGCCTACGTCACACCCACCCCCTTCTTTTCTGGGGCGTGGGACCGGATAGAAAACTAGCCATCTAGTTAACTAAGCGAGAAAACTTTAAATAGAAATTCAAAGTGAATATTTTTTATCATCTTTTCCACTGTGGGTGCTGGAAAGTATTCTGCTCTACACTCAGAAAAAAATAGTTCATTGAAAATGTTTACTTTTTTATTCATTTCTGTATCTTATTGAACTTTCATCAAGAGAGTTAATTCTATTATGTGGTGCTACTTCATGCCTGTTCCACATGCATGTAGTTAATTTACTACTGATTACAGTTAAACCATCTTTTGGCTGACACATATATGAGAATTTTATTATTATTATTGCTCCCTTGGGTTCCTAGTGGAACATAGGGCTTCAAGTGCACGTCTCCACTTGCTTCTGTCTTCTGCTACACTTTTCACCTGCATCCATCTTAGTCCATACTGTTTCAACTCCTCTTCACTTGATCTCCTCCATGTCACCCTTGCACTGATGTCCCACTCGCCGCTTCCCTTTCGGCCGGGTTCCACTCTAGCGATGTCACCCAGCAGCCTCCTCAGCGAGAGTCCAATCCATCTCCACTTTCTCCTGCATATTGGTTGGTTGGCGATTGGTTCTTGTTTTGTTTGTTCCCAGCCATAGTTCCTTGTTGGTGATTCTTTCCGGCCATATGATCTTGAGTATAGAACGAAGACAGTTAGTTGTTGATAAAGGTAACGTCTGCAACAGGCTGTTGGAAATATTCTTTGTGACCCACTCGCCAATTTTCTGATCCGTATAGAAGAACTGACTTGATGTTTGTTGACCGAATTTTGTTGTTGATGCTGAGTTGAGTGACGAAGATTTCCAGATTGGTTTCAGATTGATGAATGTGTTTCTCGCCTTCCCGATTCTCACTCGATTTGACATCCTCGTCCGTTCCGACTTCCTGTAGTTGAGACAATGCTCCCTAGATAAGTGAATGAATGAAGTAACCGCTTTCAAATCCCTCCTGTTGATGGTGATTGTCGCTGGATGTTTCTGCTGTTGTTGTTGTTGGTTGGTTATGTTAATAACCTCCGTCTTGTCTATGTCCATCTGGAGTCCTGTCTTCGCCGGCTGCTTCTTCGACCAGTTTGTCGGTTTTTGCTTGTAAGTCTTCGATTTTGTGACATCAGACATAAATCATCACCGCGCAAAATCCAGGTCTTCTAGGTTCTTCACGTCGGTCCAGGATATCCTGTCTTGTCGTTTCCCACTGTCTGACGGATAATCCAGTCCACCACAATTAATGATATCATCGCGGGAGATAATAAGCACCCTTGTCTGACTCTTGTGTTTATTCCAAACGCCTCGCTGAGTTTTCCGTTGTGGATGACTTGACATGTGCCATTGTCGTACAACTGTTGAATAAGGTTGATGAATATTTGGGGTTCGCCGTAGTACTCGAGTAGTTTCCAAATCACTTCACGGTCAACGCTGTCAAAGGCCTTCTGGAAGTCTATAAAGGTGAGGTAGAGGTTTGATTGCCATTCCATGCTTTGTTCGATGATGATGATGCGCAGAGTTGCAATTTGGTCAGTATATGATTTGCCTTTCCTGAATCCAGCTTGTTCTGGTCGAAGTTCTGTTTCCAGTGCGTCCTTTATTCTCTCCAGGATGATGCGACTCAGGATTTTACTTGGTGTCGACAGGAGCACGATTCCTCGCCAGTTCTTGCAGAGTGAGTCGCCCTTCTTTGGTGGTTTCGCGAGGTAACCTTTCCTCCAGTCAGTAGGCAACTTTCTCTCCTTCCAGACCTTTTGCAATAATGGAGTCAGCATGTCTGCTGTCGTCTCTGGGTCTGCTTTCAGTGCTTCAGGGGGTATTCCATCTGGTCCAGCTGCTTTTACAGCTTTCAGAAGCTTGACTGAATTCAAGACTTCAGCTTTCGTTGGAGGATTGGTGTCAACTTGCAGTTGTGTGCGCACTGTTGTTGGTATTTCTGGACGGATTGCAGGTGATGGTCGGTTCAAAAGTCCTTTGAAGTGATCCGCCCATTGTTTAATCTGTTTTTCTTCCTTGGTAATTGGGTTCCGTTGGCTGTCTCTTATAGGTTTCACCTGTGTTGATCTCTTCCTGGATAGAGATTTGGTTATCTGATATAGTGTCCTCAGGTCCCTTTTGCCTGCTGCATTCTCAGCTTCAGTGGCGAGGTTGTCGTAGAATCGTCTTTTGTCCTTCCTAACACTCTTCTTCACTTCTTTGTCCAGTGCTGTGTACGTTGAGCTCAGCGTCTCCTTCTCCTGTATGTCCTTGTATTGAATCATTTTCTCTTTCACCATTCTCCTCTCTTCTATTAATTTCCAAGTGTCCGTCTTGTCTCTTCTTTCTTCCTAAAACCATTGAACACATTTTGTTGAGAATCGCCTTCAGAGAATTCCACCGGGTTGGAGACCCGGTGGTTACAAGGCTAGCTAGCTCGCAGACCATTAAGCTACTGGAAGGTAGGTAGTTACGTGGGGTTCTAGTGAGAAGTCGTGACCAGTAGAGTGCAGCAGGTCGGGTGTGAGGACAAATACTCGCTGAAGACATTGGCTAGCGGTTGCGCTATGTCGTGAATTAGCAGAAGTTAGAATTCATGGGCTGGCCATTGGATCGGGTCCCAGTGGCTTAATGGTATACGAGCTTGCCTTGTAACCAGAAGGTCCTGGGCTGGAATCCTGGTGGGTGCGTACTTTTGAAGAGTCGCAAACTAGGATGAAACAGCTGTCCAGTACTCCGTGTTGGTTTTCTAATGGTTCTCTAACTAATGTCAGCTCATGGTTAAAATTCATCATACTTTTCTGTTACTTTGATGACTTATTCGGATTCGTCTTTCCGGTATCCATAAATAACCATATATGATTGAAATCCAAACGGCTTTACCAGCCTCAAACATGGTCAGGACTTGACATGTCCCCATGTTTAGTTTTGTTTGAAATGAAAGAAAACAAATAGCCCTTCACCAACTGGAATCATCAAACCTTCAGCTAATGAATTCTTCCTATTCAAGTGGAGAGAAAGTTTACTTTTCCTGTACTTTGAGGTTTCAGCAGCAATGAGGTTGTTCTTACGCATATCATCCAGCTTTTCCGGGCTTAGGACTTGCTCGTAAACTAGGTGAATGAAGTCATATGTTAGGTCCTTGGATAGAACTCAAATGAAGACTGACGATTTGGCCGTCCAAGACTGACATACAACAGATCGTATGAGATGAAAATGAAAACTTAAGCCATCTAGAAATAACGGCAGAGAACAAAGTACAGTGAACATGTACTGCTGGTGTCCCAATTCCCGCTCGAAACGCAGAGAATAAACATCAGTAACTGTCGTAGTGATTACCAGTACGTTTATTTAACTAAATCAATGTACTGTTCACTTTTTTTGATGAAACTTAACGAATACGTAAAAATGGAGCACTATTTTGGTTGTGAAACACCAATTAACTATCGATGTAACCGTACACTAGCAAACACAATCTGTATTTTTAAATATGAACACGCATACAACACATAAATTTGTAAGTATATGCGTGTAACAACTTAGTTTCACGTACAGAATGAAACCTTTCTGTCAAAAATACAATGCACACACAAACATACATCAAGTAAACTTTATCCAGAACTATGTACACTAAAATCACATGACTTTCACGTGACACTGTACTCTAAAGCTTACTATGAACACACACACACATACACACACACACACTTAGGAATACACTAACATCAATTGTCGTATAAAAGCATTTCTTCTTTAAGCCAAAATTGATTTTTACGACAGATTGTTTAAAGCAAATCATAGCAACGAATGATTGCATTAAAGACCTCACAAGTGCTAAACATTTGATTCTTTTTGTACTTTTTCCCCCTTATGTTATATAGTGATGATAATCTAATGTTTCTTTATTAAATGGTTAAAAGACATTTACCATAATTTAGCATAATATCAGTCAAGTAATCAAACTGAATGAGTCATTGAATAGCTGTTCTATTTAGTATTTTAAAATATTCGATAAGGTTATATTTAAATTGGGATCAGCAATTTAAAACTGGAGGGTATTGTGAAGTGAATATATTTTTTTGTACTTTGCTCCATTTCAACGAAAAAATCACTGATAGTCTGCTCTGTAATACATCAGAAATTTACTGTAATTTTAAAAGGAATCCATTTTAACTACTTTTGTTGTTTTGTTCACAATACAACTGACAATTTAATTCTTATAGTTCTTTTTCTTTCTTTTTCCGTTTAACATTGGATAGTAAAAATATTTCAACGTTCATAGTGAATAAATTCTATTATGGAAAAATTAATTGAAATATTTTTCGAATTGGACAAGGATAATAATGAAATTGTTGATAAACAAGAACTTGTCAATTACTGTAAAGACAACAAACTTGATATGAAAATGGTTAATGTAAGTAAACCGTATTTTTCCTTTTTCTATATAAATATGCCTATACACATATTAATATTTATACTTCTTAAGTTTGTAATACTTACTGATGACCTGGTTAGTAGCTGTACATGAAATTTCGTTTACCATAGCGCATCTCAGGCATTTATCAACCCCCCCTTCCCCCATCCAGTCATCATACACTATATCGGTAGTATTCTCTCGATATTGATCGTCTTATCAATTATACAATTTGATTCCAGATGTTACGACTCTGAAATAGTGTAATTTGTATCATAGATATCCCATCTCTGAATCTTCCGCTTATACTAAATGATTTGTCAAATTTAGGTCAAAAAACAGTAGTGTAGATCTTACCACTATCTGATATATGGATTTTGGTTTCTGACAAATCATAAGTACCACTATCTGTGTAAAGGATGCTTTTCCGAGCATCCTTAAATGTTAGTTCCCATGCTTTTTGCTTTGCTACTATGTTCTCTTGATGAAACCTTTGTTAGATCTGCTTATAATCGGTTTTTAAGGATTAACTAATAATCAGTAGTTCGTTTTGTACCTACTTTCCCACCAAGGTTAGTGTATGAAGTAGGGGATTGATTGAGTGCCCGGTGTCTCTTTTAAATTTAGCTACATAAGTCTCCTTTGCATTTTTTAAAAGCTATCATATTGCACTGAGTCACAATAAAGAAACTTAATAAAGGTCGTCGTATTGGTGTAACCCTTATTATCAATATAGATCACAGTTCGAACATTTAACACTTCAATGAATTCTTTTAATTGCAGCACCTTAGTTACTTACTGTACGAAAATGCATCAAACCAAATGAATATAATTTGACCATAATAATAAACTGTAGACACAATGCAGGGTTTTTTATTTGGTAAAGCATATAGTGATTGTGTGGTTTACCAAATAAGTGAATTTTCCAATGGAGTTGAACATTAATACGGAGCATCAAATAAAAATGATCACTGAGTATTCAACAGACTAAATGAGCAACTATAAAACTTCCATTGAATCAAGAAAAAAAGGCTCATCAAGACAACGCTATGGAAACGCGTCGCTGAAACGAATTTTAACTAGTTACGGTTGTTATCCTTGAGTAAAACAAAGCATTCATAAAGCTAGGACAAATTCTGCATAGTAAAATAATATTTTAAATGCATTAATAGACTTTTAAACCCAGGGAATCGGTCTTTACTGTTGTTATCATCCTCGCCAATTTAATATTGTTGTTTTTCTTGAGACTATCATCGGTATATTCACAGAACGTAGCTTGCAGCTAGAGAGTACGAGAACAGTTAATGCAGATCACTTTATTCAATAGACCCCTTTAATTACTCCAGAAATTAAACAAAATCTAGGACTAAGCATTATCCTATATACTACTTTTATTTCATTTTGTATACTTAATATCTTTTATTGGATTTGTTCAAATGCCTCTATCCATAGAAGTAAGTAAGGATGTGAAACACTCGTTTGTGTTTATTTATAAGCCATTTACTAATGAATGCAACGGCCTCGTCTAGAGTAGGTTGTCGAGTCAATTCTTATTTATATATGTATTACTGAATGAGAAAGTCTCTATCATCATACGTTTCAGACAAAAAATAATTGACTGCACTTTGAAATCATTTATCACCTGGTTTCATTGATGGATGTCCTGAATGGCTTTATCTTTTATGATTCACTCAACTCAAATATTAGAAAACAGTAAAACATAATCATCAAACATATTACATTTTGGTTATATTATCTACCCCAATATAACGAATAAAAAAGTAACTTGAACCGATTTTAAGACGTTATATTCATTCGTAAGTTTATTCTAATTGCTAATGAATACAAATGAGAAAATTTCATACATTTATTCCCCTTGATGAATTTGAATGAAGCAAGAACGAGAGTTTTTGCAGAAAAACATGGACCATCATTTATTTCGTTGACTTCTTATCAGCTGCTTACAGCCTAAATAAATTATTAACTGTGTGTACAGAAACACTTTAACGTAGTTGCAAATTTTACATGATGTCATTTGACAAGAGGTTCTGCACTTAGTGTACGGTGCTCAGAAAATTACGCTAATATGGTTTTTACACAGGGGGTTCAAGTTAAAACAAAGTGAATGTATACATACAAATGCCGAGGAGTTGTGTAATAAAGATGAGAGGTGCCTGAGATGATGAATGACTAGTAAATTAGGTAACAATGTACTGAGTCTACCTCAAATCATATAAACGTGAGACAAGCAAAATTACACTATATCAAATGGGAGAGGTGCACCAGTGCTCTAGTCAAGACTCTGTACAAGCAAATTTTGTTGGTCTTTTGTTTATATAATTTGAAAGCTTCGCAAATCAACTGTCCAGCTCAGCGAACACAACCACATCAAAATCTTCCACCTGAGCTACAAATCTTCTCTATCATACCTAAAAGACGGGAGGTGCCTGAGGTGATGAGTGACTAATAAATTAGGTAGCAATTTACTGAGCCCACCTGAAAGTATATAAACGAAAGACCAACAAAATTTGCTTGTACAGAGTCTTGACTAGAGCACTGGTGCACCTCTCCCATTTGATATAGTGTAATTTTGCTTGTCTCACGTTTATATGATTTGAGGCAGACTCAGTACATTGTTACCTAATTTACTAGTCATTCATCATCTCAGGCACCTCTCATCTTTATTACACAACTCCTCGACATTTGTATGCATCATTCACTTTGTTTTAACTTGAACTCCCTGTGTAAAAACTATATAAGCGTAATTTTCTGAGCACCGTACACAAAGTGCAGAACCTCTTGTCAAATGACATCATGTAAAATTTGCAACTACGTTAAAGTGTTTCTGTACACACAGTTAATAATTTATTTAGGCTGTAAGCAGCTGATAAGAAGTCAACGAAATAAATGATGGTCCATGTTTTTCTGCAAAAAACTGCTGTTCTTATTTTAATCAAATAGGGGAAATATCTGAAAACCGATGGAAGTGGAAAGGATGCACACACAATTTGTTCTAGTCAGGAGTCTATATCAGTACCTCTATACAAAGTTAATACCCAGAATACTGTCGTTGAGAGGTAGTCATTATCCCTCACCCCTCCAGTCACTGATTCGGAACGTTATGGTAATTCAGCATCAAATCGCATAACCCACAATTATTTGCATTCCCTTGAACTGTCTAGTGGTTAAAACTAATAGGTGCATAAATGAAAAGGGAATCCTAGTGAATTTCAACTACTTTGTTATGAACTGGCTGCATATATATATATATTATATGTGAAGCAACTTTTAAGTGAATATCTCGTTGTTTCCATATTGCATTTAGAATCTGCTATTATTACTACCACTTATATTACAAAGGTGACGTTATGAATCATTTCTCAATTGTTCAGTTATTATCTTCACACTAACCTTAAGGAATGCTTTAATTCTTCAAAGTTAGCAATTTAAGTTTATCAAATCAATAATATTATTCTTTCTTTGTCAAGTTCACAAGCGATTTTATATCAACAATATAACAAAATATTACACAAATATCAATAAAAGTACATTCTTATTTTTTGTTCAACAATAGGTACACCATTATTTATTCTATAATAAATTACAAATTCTAACTCTTCTATATTAGTAGAACTTTATTTTCATTATCAGTGAACCCAATAAAGTTTCTTATGTAAATGATACAAGTGACACATATTTTTTATTTGAAGAAAAAATAAGAGATGGTTACCTAAAATTAAATCTGAGTATAAACTCCAGTCATTATAGAAAATATATATTAGATGTGAACATAATTGAATACGTAATATTTTGCAAGAAAAATAGTTGAAAGAAATATTTTGAAATGATTCAGAATGATATTTCAAGTAATGTTTTCGAGCGTGTTGTCTGATTTCAGGCTTAGATTTCATCATGAAATTACGTAAATTAGTGAGCCATTTAAAACCTTGGAACCAATTGAATCCCCACAAAACAACACCTAAAAATCAGTTACCGACACATGAGAATTAGTGAACGATGAGCTTCACGAAGATGGGTGTAAGAAGAGGTATTCGCTGGTGAACGTCTATGGTGATTTGTATTACGAATCTGATTGTTTCGCAGTGACTGAGTAAGAAGGTAGTCAGTTCGTAATCAGAAGGTTTCATGATTCAAATACTGCTGACGCGTTCAGAACTAGGACGAAACAGCTGTTTAGCTATGAATAATTATTCAACAGATGGTATCGATTAGTGACAAAATCTAACCAGAAATCAGTGTGATATTATTTTGCTAAGCATTTTTAATTATTACTGGTGATTTGTACAGTCGCGTGTGCTTGAAAGATTAACAGCAACTTCAGATGCCCTAAACGTTGGAATAGTTTACCTTGTTCAAGTTTGATATAGTTATAAAGTAGGTCACTAAAATGGAATCTTTACTTTTGAATGGAACTTCCCTAGGAAGATTAAAAATTTGAGGTATGAAAGATAATCTCCCGTTTTCTTCATTAATTTCAAACAAATGTGAGATAAACTTGTTTGATGGATTTTATATATTTAATCAATATTACTCTAATTAGCTTCCTCCATAGAAAATATCATATAATCAGGTTTTAAATGAGCTTGGATCACAGCGAGTATCAAACCTACATAACTATATACGTGTATATGCATATATACTTTATTCTTTTACGTTCTCCGTGGAACACTGGGCTTCAAGGCAGAACGCTGAGGTTTCGGTAGCAGTGGTGATTATTTTTACGGGATAGGTTTGCTAGCCTCATGCCCTGCTTCCCCTCTTTATCGGTCTTATTACTTGCTTAGCTAGGTCAAGGGGTGTGTCAGCTGGGGATTAAATCCCAGACCACCGGAGTTGACAGGCGAGCATTCTACCAATGTGCCACCGACAAACTATATATATATGATATTTTATCCATCTGATGTAAGTTATTGAAGGTTCAGTGACTTTATGGAGGTGGCACTAAAAGTCCTAGAGATCATAAATCGTTTGTTCATAGA